TATTGCCATTGGCGCCGACTGTGAGCACATAGCAGCCCAGATTGAAGAATATATCCTTACTGTACGGGGCTTCCTCAAGGGCCTGCATGCCTCCAGGCCGTGAAATGAATGTGCTTGGAGGAAAAATGGGGACAGTCTTTCTTTGCATAAATGTTCTGCTGCAACTCTGCTTGTCAGGGCTCTGGGTCTGGTTCCAGCTCTGCTTGGCTGAGTCCTGGGTCACTAACGAACCACTGGTGTGGTGTTGGGAGCTCTGGGCAGACCCCTTGCTGGTGTGATGGACACGGTTATTTCCTTCCTGTTCATGCCATAATGGACTGTAATCCCCAGGTTGTCTTTCCCATCAAAATCCTATTTCCTGTTCTCAGCTCTGCTTACAAATACATGCAACTTCCCTGTGCCTCCCTGCTGAGCAGAGTGTGCTGATATAGACAAAAGCAATGGGAAGGATAGAGCAATGAGGGTCAAATTGCATGTCGATTTGAGATAAGCCAGGAGTTTGCTTGGTTTGGGGGCTGTGGAGCAGGAGGTACAGCTGGGCTGTCTTAGTGGAGCGTTTGGTGGCTACTTTGCTGAGGGAAAGAGCAGGTTGAAGAACCTGAGCATAACTGAAAATAAAGATTATTTCCGGCACAGTGAAAGAGCCAGAACTGAAAGCCCCTAAACTCTGGGACTGTATAAGCCTGCTCTCAAATCCAGCATTAGCCTCCCAGAGCAGACACTGCTGTTGGGTCCCAGCACCCTCGTCTGTGTCCTGGCAGCGAGTAACACTCCCAGCTATTCATGAGTGGTGTAGAAAGTGCTTGGAGGCCTCTGGGTTGATTGCAGACTCCTTGACTGCCATGTACGCATATACCAAGATGTCAAAAACACCGACATGAAATACAAGAACCGAGTGAGGAGCCGCATCTCGAATCTGAAGGACTCCAAAAATCCTGAGCTGAAAAAGAACGTGCTGTGTGGGGCGATTACCCCCGAGCAGATCGCGGTGATGACCTCGGAGGTGAGGAAGCCTGAGGAGCAGGGTTTGCTTCTTACAGGGGATGTGTCCTCTGGTTTAGCTTGAAGCAAGGGGCTGGTCTGCTGCCAGGGTTGCAGATTTCTCAGCAGCTGCTGCCTGAGTGCATGGGGAGTGAGCTAGCAATGGGGTTTGCAATGTGGAGAGTAGTCTGTTGGGCCTTCAGATCATCACAGGGGCCTAGGTATGAACCAGAAACCAGGAATGAAAGGCTTTCTGTCTTAAAATACCCATCTGTTAGGTCACCCTGTCCTGTTGACTCTTTCCACTGCAGTGGGTGTGGTGGTAAAAACTGGACAGATGTGATTTTATTGCTTTTTTTTAAAGGAAATGGCCAGTAATGAGCTGAAAGAGATCAGGAAAGCCATGACAAAGGAAGCAATCCGGGAGCATCAGATGGCCAAGACAGGAGGGACGCAGACTGACCTCTTCACCTGTGGGAAATGCAAGAAGAAGAACTGCACCTACACCCAGGTTAGTCTTCCTGCTCCTACAGCCTCCGCGCCGTTGACCTCTGTACAGGACATGATCCGTCACGGTCACGAGCTCTTACTGCTCCGTGACAGGCCCTGCAGCACGGCACAAATTTTGCCACTGGTGGAGAGAACCTTTTTGTACACTCGAGACTCTCTAAAACGTGCTGCTTTTGCACAATGATTTTGCACACATTTCCTTGGAGCTCGTGTAACTTTTTTGGCTCATTTGTACAAAAGCAGGGGTTGTGCAGCATCAAGGAAGCTTTCAAAAGTATAGCAGTGCTGCTTGCTGTGCAGCTTCGGAGAGCTGCACATTGAAAGCAGGTGCTGGGAATGTGGAGATTCAGACAAAAAAGGAGTGGGTAGTGTAGAGGAGAGAGACTGCAGAAACCGAGGCAGGCATGTTGATGGCATTAGAAGTGCAAATTAAGAATGTAGATAAGCTGCGGCTGGACAAATCCCAACCTATTTAAAATCAAACAACATGAAACAGGTGAAACATGAGGAATAACAAAGCAGTGATGTGAGCAGGCAGAGGGGATTTTTCTCCTCAATGGACAGCTGCTGGAAGCCTTGTGCGTTACCAGTGCTTCTTAGTTCCCATGTTTGCACCAGGCATCTGGAGATAAATGTGCCTTTGCTGTGAGTCAGTGTTTTAGAATGTGCAGATACCCAAAAATGCACCAGCAACCACGCGATCGCTACTGAGTGGGTGCGCACAAACTGTGTGTGCGAGTGCCGAGTGAAACTCCTTCGTATGCTTGGACGTGATGTGCAAATGCAGATGAGAGCCAGGCAGCTGACCAGGGATTTTTTTCCTTTGGCTCAGCGGCAGCCTTGCATCACGCAGGCTGGCTCAGGCGAGAGGCCTCGCTCTGCGAGTGCGTCCCGGTAAGTCAGCTGGAAGCACTGCCTGGGCTGTCTCGCTCGCCTCAGCAGCATGTGGGACTCTGTCTCCACCTGTAGTGGACTGGAGTCTGACTGTCTGGAATTGGGGCAGGTGACGACAGTGTCTTCTAAAGAGAAATATCAGAAGGTTTTCTGTATTTTTTTTTTATTAGTTTTCCAGTGAAATCACTATTTGGTGACTGAGATGTTGTAAGTTCCAAGTAGATGAACTGGCATTTATTAAAGCGTTTGAAATAAGGCAGTAATGTCGGGTGAGAATTACAGAATTTAGCTATCCAGCTTGCTTGCAAAACATGCTTAATTTGCATCATGCAAATACTGTGCCTCTTACATATTGGGTAATTACACATAGATCACCATAATTACCCCATGACATAGTTGTGCTGTCTGACTTGCGCAGGGAGTGCCAGTGTTTTCAGCGTAGATCTGCCTTGTGGTATTCAAATGCCATGAAAATCTGATCTTTAACAAAGTATGTGTTTCTGGCAAGAGCCAGTCAGAGGCAGCAGTCACATCTGGGTTAAATATCAGAGTTTCTTAAAGGCTCAAATACAAAACAGACTGGAAATGTGAAGAACCTGGTAACCCAGAGCATGTTCCTGTGAGGCCCGGACATAGGACTGGTCTGTAAATGGGAATGGCTTGAGTGCTTTTTCTTGTGTCGCTGTGGAGCACGTGCTTGATGGGCTGAGGGTTTTGTCTCACCGCCGGCTGCACCCCTTCCCAGGGGACGGTACAGGGAGGGACCAGCTGTGGGTATGTCCACCTCCAGAGCCACCTGCAAGGAATGGGCAGCAGAGGGGGTGAGGAGTGAAATCTGCTGCCCCAAAACACGTCACTCCAGGTGGTGTCAAGCTAGAGAGGGGTCATGAGATGTGTGTGGAGGTGTATACCTGTGTAAAACAATAACCAGTCTCGTTTTTCAGGGAAGCTCCTCTTGCCCTCCCAAGCCTCCGGGGTATCATTGATTTCCGACAGTGTGACCCCAGCATGAATCCCTGGTGGCCAGAGGGACGGGGAGCTCCCTGTGACCCCCCCGTGGGGCCATGTGTGATGCTTGGCTCTCATTTTCCTCGTGTCCTCCCCCAGGTGCAGACCCGCAGCTCCGATGAGCCCATGACCACCTTCGTCGTGTGCAACGAGTGTGGGAATCGCTGGAAGGTAGCACACCAAGGATATTACTGGCACTGAGGGGTGTTAGGGTAGCTGCACCCACGATGCTGCAGACGCTTAGCTGCTGCCCTCAGAGGTGCTTGCCAAACGCTGACTGGCTCTAGCAAGTGATCTTTCCTCCCAGCACAGAGGCAAGAGCTCCTGGGTTCATCCCATCTCTGCAGACCAGCTGGGGTCAAGTCTCACTTTCGCATTCCCTGCCTCCCTCCTCACATCCCCTCTTCTGCCATGACCAGCTTCACAGTGCTTTCCATGCTCCCTCTGCCCCCTGAGAGATGGTGGTGATGACATTCAGGATTTTAAAACTGCTCTTTTATACTGCGCACAGAGCTCGGGGGTGAGCAGAAATCTCCCGGTCAATGGCGAGCAGAAATGGCGCCACTACCAAGTGCCAAAGAGCCGCAGCCGAGAGATTCAAACGGGAGCTCTGTTTGGCCCCTACTCCAGGGGCTGAGCCCTGCCTCTGCAGAATCCCCAAGCCCTTGCCAGCTTCAGAAACAAGACCATCACCTGGATCCCTATCTTCTTCTAGGCAGCACGCGCATGACCCGCAGCTCCCCTTGGCAGTGAGGTTTTCTAATCGGGGTTTAAACTCCCTTCTCTTGCAGTTCTGCTGATATGTGCCATGGCCCGAGAGCGGCAGCCAAACGCAGATCAGAGCGCAACCTCCATACGCCAGCTCCCACGGCAATTGTGTATTGTGTCCCAAGTGAGTTTGCATTGTCACACGCTGAGAGAGCAGCTGCGGGGAGGCCTGCCTCTCCGCTTGGGCCTCAGTGGAGAGCCACAGCTGTGGGCTGACAGGGTGGCAGGAGAGCTCACTAAACACATTAGTCGTTATTTTTCTCATCTAAGCGAGTATGGTCACTTTTTTCTTCAAAACTAATATTAAACATTTTTGTCAGTTTCTGACTTTTATTTGAACTCTGCGTGTGCAGCACTTTGTTTTTGCGGCGTGGAACTGCATGGGAGCTTGACAGATGGTCAGTGTCCAGGTGGATGAGGACTGAACACTGCCTGGACCACCTGAAAGCGAGAAGCCGCTTGTAGGTACACCCTCAGTGCTTGTTCCGAGTCAACTCACGAAACCTAAAACACTGGGCCAAGTCCTGGGGTGGCTGCGTGGGCGGTACTGGTCTTCCTCTCCTGACTGAGGAGACCTGTTGATGGAACGCAGCTTTTGGGGCGCAGATCAGGTGCTGCTTTCCATCTTGACAGCATTCATTTGATTTTGCACAGTGGTGTGTGCCTTGTCATCTCAGGCCTTTAAATGGCAACAGCATAGGCTGCTGCAAGAGGGGAGTGTGCTGCCCGGGTTGTAACAGACTGAAAGCAGGGTGACACCAGCCACAACAAAACCCAACCCAAATGGTTGGCTCGGGGGGAGCAGGACAGGGAGGAAGGTGTGCTAGGCCCTGGTGAGGTTAATCTCGATACAGGGAGAAGCCATCAATAAAGGAGGTGGAGGCAATCCACTGGCCAGTGGGAGTGTTAAAAGGGAGTCCCAGGCGCTTTCCTGGTTGTGCATGCTCTGCTCTTAGCTGGACGGCTGAAAGGCAGCCTGAATTTTCAGAGGGACTGGCTGGAGAGGCTCAGGAAGAGGAGGAAATGCTGCAAATACAGGAAACTTTCCAGAGGCTTGGACTGGAAGAGGTAGGGATTACAGATAGTGGTGGGAGTCGTTAGCGCTTAGCTCTGGAAGTGGTGGGGTTTGAAGTGAGCTCAGAGCTAGAGCAAAGCAAGCTTCAGGTGCTACGTCTGCAGACATGGCCCTGTGAGGGGGACCTGCAGGGTCAGGCTCTTTCTGGGAGGCAACTAGAACCTGGTGGGGAAATTCTGTCTGTCCTCACAACAGCTTTCAGCCTGAGACTTAAAATCCCTCTTTTCTTCCTAGCCTTTAACTGGGGTGACGCAGCATTTGGGGGACCCCAGTAAAGCCTCTGAGTTTGAGGCCGCTCTGGAGCAGTCCTCTGCACTGCAGCTCTTGCGCTGACAAGCAGTGCAGGAGCATTTGTAGTCATGTCTCTTATGGCATTGCTCCCCTGTTCCAGAGTGAAAAACAAGTATTTCCACTGGCTTTTCAGCATGCCAGAGAGCAGACATTCAGCAGAGACCTTGGAGATGTTTAGAGAGGAGTAAGCAGCCACATGAAAGCAATGGAAAATGTGCTCGCAGCCCCTTTGAGGGCTGTGCTCCTCTGGAGGCAGGGATCCCAACAGGATCCTTTGCTCAGGGCTTTCACGTTACGGGGTGCAGCCAAGTCTCCCAAGAAGGAAAAGATTCAAAGATGCTGACAGCTGATTTAAGCCTCACGAGTCTTGCGGCGAATGGGATTATTCAAGCCAGGCTTGGGAGGGAACAGAGTCCTTGCAGTAATGCTTAAAAAAAAAGCTTCAGGATCTGAAACCAAAGCTGGCCAAGGCACTCTGGCTTGTGCGCTCTGAGCAGGAGCCAGCTAATGCCCGGTTGCCGTTGCCTTTCGTCTTGCATTGCTGTAAGGAGGGGCGCTGAGCTTGGGCACCGTTTGCTGACAATCCTGAGCTGGGTATGGAGAGTCCCAAGCAGACGGAGCCCCCCAAACCGAGGGAGAAGTACCATGTCTCGGGGCCGTTTTCTGAGATAACACCAAGGAGAGCCAGTGAGGGGAAAGCCACTGGATAAAGAGGTGTCTCAGAAGTAAAGATTCACTTACAAGGTGTTTAAAAGTGCTAGGAGCGGGAGCAAGAGACTAGATTAACTGGTGGCAGCGGGATCTTCCCTGGGCTGAGACCTCCATGGCGTGCAGAGGCTCCGACCCGCCTGCCGCGCTCCCGAATGGCTTTGGGGATGCTCAACCTCCAAACCTTGAGCTAAGGCCGCGTGAGATACTTCCTTTACTCACAGAGCAAACCGAGCAGCCAGAACTAAAACCTCCCCAGCGCAGGGTGGGGATGCTGCGGGGCTGTAGCAGTGGAGGCTTGGCACCCACAGGGGAAAAACCTGTCAATAACAACCGAGTAATAACAATACTGACATTCCTGAACAAATGAACTATCTCTGGTCTCTCTCAAAAATACATTTTTCTCGAACTGTATTTCCAGCTTGGCAAACAAAACTAAATTTACTGACATGAATTTCCACACGAGGAAGGAAACAAACAAACAAAAAAAAGCTGAGAATTTTTTTTGTTTGTTTAAAAAAATACCTTCAATAAAAAGAATCAGTGCTCCTTCTTTTTTTCTTTGAAAGGGAGGGAGAGAGAAGGAGGGAAAGGGGTAGATAAATAGGAAACCACGGGCTGTTCCAGGTCAGGAAAAGCAAAGACTAGTGTTGGTCTTCTGCAGCGTGGCCGAGCCGGTGCGTAGCCGGGCGGCAGGACCCCGGAGTTGGCTTCATTTCAGCGCGGAGGGCAGGGGCTGCTGGCAGAAACGTTTTTAATTCTGGGCGCAGGGGCTCCAGTAAACCATTCCTCATGCCGTACAAAAACACACAGCGATCGTATATCTTCCCTGCGGCGTTTCCCATCCCGCGTGGAGCCCTGCCTGGCCACTGCTTGGTGCCAAGCTGCTCCCAAGGGATGAGGGCCGACCCTTGGGCTTCTTCCCCGCTTGCGGGGCAGGCGTGGGCCAGCCGGGAGCCTTCGCTTTCAGGGGTCCTGGTGCCTGTGGGTTTCTCAGGAGGGCAAACGATGCCTGCACGGCCCCCCATGCGTGTTTTCCCCTTCGCTGAGGTCTGTGAACCGAGGATGCAGGATGCTCTGAGCTCGGGGTGACGAGCGCGTGCGGCCCCGGGGCTGGACCGGTGCCACGCCATGGGGACTGGGTGCTCCGGGACGGGGGCTGGCAGAGGGGGCGGCTGCTGGGCAACCCCTGCCCACCCTCCAAGCGCATCCTCATGGCACCACCGCTGCTGGGGTCCCGTCTGACCCCTCCAGAGCCCCTTAGGCAGCTTCAGAAATGGGGGGGACCGTGGCCCCAGGGTGCTGCCTGCCCTCTACCCCCATCCGGCCCCGGCGCTGCCCCCTGATCCGCCGGGAATGCAAATAGGGCTGCAGCGCTGCCCCCCGCCCC